ATAATTAAAATAAATAAATATTTCCGATGGGTTGGAAATTATATATTGTAAATTTCATTCTGCTAGTATCTTGACAGCTTAAAACACTTTGCCAATGAATTAAATATCAAAGCCCTATGGCTTTAATCACATACATAATCTTCCATTCGCGTCTCTATTCTCTCTCTCTATTCTTACTCTCTCTATTCTTATTAGAGTAAACGGAAGCGATTAAACCTATTATTAAAAAATATTTTTGAATAAGTTATTTTAAACGAGATGTATGTATGCGTGTCTGTATAATCACAACTTTTTGTTTAAATTTATTTAATAATTTAAACTCGAAATATGCAGATCTGTCGAAGACTATAAAGATTCGTCTATTAATTGTATTTATAGCAATAATATATGTATCAAACCTTGCAATCATTCTCTCTAACTGTCCCCATGACATGTCTCTATCTCTCTTTATTACTCACTCTTTCTCTTAAATGACAGTAAGATATAAAATTCTAAGTTATTTTAATCTCAGAACAAGTTTTTGCGCTCTCAAGCATTAAAAGTTGTTGAATTGGTTTGTAGTAGGAATATCACAGCTTTGAGCTGTGTGTCTTAAATGTTATATATTCTATTGAAATACTTAACATATAAGGTGTGGCTAGTTTGTAAACAACGCCAGTTGGATGTTTGCCTTTGAAAGTGAAAATGCAATACCTTCGTGGAGACACGTTCCCTCCAAATATGTTGGAGTACGATGAAATCTTGGAGAAGATAGGTAAGCAGTTGCCCACCCACAAATACAGATAGTTGAGCTATTCCGCTACGCATTGTAACAGGCTATGGCAAGACCCAATGGATACTACTTCTAATAAGCGGCCTTCTGACAATCACATCTGTGGCCGCACAGCAAACAATGAGTATTGTTGTAATCGCATCCCGCTGCGAGTTCGACACAACGGAAGCCGAGATGGGTGTCATGATGGCGGCATATGTAGCAGGTAAGTCATGGGCTGCAAACAACTCAAACGCAGTTGTTAATTAAACATCTGTGGCATATATATAGAAATATGTATATTATATATATATAGAAAGTATTAGATCATATATATTTAAATTCAACATACGAAAACTGTCATATATAGATATATACATATGTTTACATATTCATCTATTCATGTCTTTGTACACATATATATTATGAATCAACGATTATTTGATTTGCATTTTTGTAGGGGTTTTTCTCTCAACCTATATATGGGGATATGTCTGCGATGCAATAGGTCGTCGTAAGGTTTTGCTTTACGGAACATTTTCAAGCTGCGGCCTTCTATTTATTCTCATGTTTGTGACGAGCGTTTGGCTATTTAACATTATTAACTTGCTTTCTGGTATCAGGTAAGAATCATCTATGTAAATTAACTTAAATTCATTTACAATGGAAAAATTACAATACAATGGATAAGCTAGCTAACATAGCTTGTCTCGAGTGATGTCGACTGTTTATTTATTTTTGTTTTTATAAAATGTATTGAATATACTGATGGATTAATTTCTTACAGTCTCGGCGGTGTCTCAGCAGCACTCTATGCATATTTGAGCGAATTCAACATACCTCGCCACCGAGCCGTTGCGATCAATTATTCAACAATGTTTGTCAGTGTCACTGCCATATATGTCCCAGGTACTATAACATCTCTCAGTACTTTATGAATATATTTTATTCAATTCCCATCTAGAGAATGTGTCTCGCATTTTCATATTCTCACTAGAGTAGAAATTCCAATTATTTTGTACTCAATTATTATTGTCCTATGAGCCTATGAAAATAGGGAGTTCGAGAATTAATCGCATGAGTAGGTTATGAATCATATATTCTATTCTGAAACAAGAGTTTGATAAACAAATTTCCCTAACACTACTTATAATAGTTTATATATGTTTGCTATATTTTAAATATGCCTCAAATGTATATATATATATGAATAAGTATATAACATATATACGTGTTTTTCTTCTCCAAAATTTTAAATAGTGCGCTGTTTGAAATATTTAGATGATCAGAAGTCAAGAAATTTCCTAGATTGCCAAAAATGAAATATTCATATTAGCTGACTGAAATAACTTTTAAGGTTCACATATACATACTATTATTGTTATTATTGTTATTATCACTTAATTTATTATTACATACGTTAGATATTACATTTTAATATATTCACAGCAACGGCTTGGGCAGTATTATCTTATGATTGGAGTGTTCCCATTGTTGGTGACTTTGTGTTTCGTCCATGGCGTTTATTAATGTTATTAACGCTTTTACCCGGAGTTATTGGGGGACTGGTACTACTACATTATCCCGAAAGTCCCAAGTATCTGCTGTCTCAAGATAAAGAGGATCAGGCAATAAACGCTGTAAATTGGATCAGCAAATTCAATCGAGGATTACCCATTACTCAAGTTCTGAGTTGTAATGAAATCAGATTAAAACCAGAGATACAGACTGAAGAAAACATACTATCAAATTCCAAAGGCTGGCATATAATCACAAACATCGCTCGTGCCACAAAACCTTTGTTTCATAAGCCGCATGGATTTAATTTTGTGCTATGTAACGTTGCTGTCTTCTGTATGTTCTTCAGGTGTGTATGAATAAGAAAAATACTTTCATTTTTTAAATCACATCAAATCACAATAAAAAAGAAAAAACCTTTAAATTAAATAGCTAAACGTAACCAACTGCAATTGGTAAATTTTCACAAAACAAATCGATGCAAGACTTTGAATATCATTTAATATATCATCAATGAATTTGTGAGCTTTATGTAAATTTGTAAGAGCTTTTAAATACATACATCATGACTTGGTAAAATGTAATTTAAATTTGTAACATTGATTCATTTTCAGCTCTAATGGAATACAGCTTTGGTTTCCAGAGATTGTCAACCGATCATCCAATGAAGGAAATCAAAGCTCTACAGTTTGTGAAATACTGAGCAGCCCCGAGCAAGGCCAAATCAAATCCATGAATAGCACCAATGTAAGATATCAACCATACTCTGGATAAATTAATTTAGCATTCTTTATTTTCAGATCTGCTCTGATGCAATTTCAACCAATACTTATATTGACAATATGATAGTGGGTGTGGCCTTTTTGGTGGGTTTCTTAATACAAGGCGTCATATTAAACCCTATTGGTCGTAAGAACGTTTTGATGGCTGCCCTCACCTTGTCAATATTCAGCGGACTCTTACTACATTTCGTTTCAAATCCCATCGTGGTGCTGATCTTATTCTGCTTGGTCATCCTTCTGCCTGGACTATCAATATCTATTATGCTGGGTGCCATTGTCGACCTGGTCCCAACAAATTTGAGGTAATAAATTACATGCCGTTATATTTTCATATGTGAATACCAAACTATCAAACGAACAAAATCGGGACTATGTATATTTAATAATCACATAATAGCATTTATTATTTGTTACACTACATACAAAATATTATAATTTCGCGGCTCAACATTCTTAATTCTAAATATATTGATATAATTTGAATATATAAACATAATCAAGTAATTCCAACTTACACACACAGACATACATACATACATACATTCTTTTCTAATGTAATTTCTGCAATTTCAGAGGAAAAGCTGTTAGCTTGTGCATGTCTTTGGGGCGACTTGGAATTATTGCAGCAACAAATCTGATGGGTATTATATTAATCCAATACTGCACTATGACATTTGCATTGCTTTCTGTAATTCTAATAGGTAAGTAATAGTGAAATGTTTAACTCACCATAGATCAACACTAGTTGTAATAATATCTATATTATTTATAATTATACTCATTCATGAAAGTGAATTAGTATATTGGTTTTGTGGAATGTCTGTCTTGTCCGTCCGTCTGTCCGTCTGTCCGTATGAACGTAATTGGAAGACATACGTCGTGTATATCTCCGATTTAAAAAGTGTTAGAAAATGCATTTTCCGATATACCAAAACTCATATTAGTTGAAGAGCAAGAAAGCTGAAAATTGGAATGTAGATCCGCGTCGACCACCCAAGATCAACAAGCTATGGTGGATATATCAACGCCCATTAGCGCGTGGCAAATCGGATAAAACTGTATCTCCAAAAGTTTTACATCTAGAATGATATTTTGCGCGTAAGCTAATGCTATGATTCTGTAAAGTCTAATGGCAAAATTATATATCGACGGACCTGAAGATATAGTGATTTTTTAAATTCTGCTATACTTTGGACACCACCCAAGACCAAGAAGCTTCGACGGATATATGTCCGCCCACAGGGGTAGTGTCAAAGTTTAAATCTCCTAAAGTATAAAAGCTAGAAGCTATAATTTGGATAGTTAAGTTACTAGTAACCTCCTCTACCGATGCTCCAAAAATAATTTTTGCGCCTCTTTAGGGACGCGTAATTTTCACATTTTTTGACCGTAAGCATTCAAATTTAGCAGTTAGATTACAGTTAGCTAGTTGCATTTTCTACAGTATTAGAGCTAAACTTAGCTGCCAAATTGCTGATGGGATGTGAATGAGAATTTCGCACTCGGTAACGCCCGACTGCAACGTTCTTACTAGTTTTTTAATAATACTTATCAAATTTCGGGGCCCCAAACTAAAATGATCAATTCTCAAATATGATAGAATTTATTCAGAAATGTCAACGGCAATTCACCTTTATTTCTAACCGACAATAAAGAACAACATTCTATCAATTAGCTACCATTTATCTAATTCTAACTTTATTTTTCTTTACAGTGTGTTTTGTAGTTGTTTATTATCTTCCAATTCGGAATTCGGCTTAATCAAATTGTGTAGATTGCGAATTCGATTCATAAGCATATGTTAAAGGTACGAGTTTTATTGATTTTGGACATATTAAAATACTTCTTTAATTGTTTAAAACCTTGTAAAACCACATATGTATAATTCTAAATAAATTTTATTAAACCTGCATAGCTTTTGGATGGGTAAGTGTATACCAAGTAAGTTATGTCCTCTTACCGTTAGAATCATAAACAAACAGTACATTATAAACAACATTATTGAAGCCTACATGTTTCTATCTATCATTAGAAGAGTTAATCACTTTGAGGATTAAAATTATTCTTCCAAATTGGTAAATTGGACTGACGAACATAGCTTTGACTTTTGGTATTCGATTGCAAATAATATGTATTCTTAATACTAAATACATTACCTTCGAAATTTTTAAATCTGTATGTAAATATACATGTAAATAAATAAGATATCAATCAGACCAGAAGACTGTTGTTGTTCAGAAACGGTCGGTAAAAAAATAAAGATTTCGTCTTCGTAAGTTAGTGATGTCTAAACTCGGCCATTTTATGAAGTGAACTTTATTTAATAATAACTATAAAACTGCATATATACAGTCATGTATATAGTTATAACAGATGGGATAGATATTATATATAGGATTCTAAAATGATTTTTTAAATTTTATTCAATAGGGGACGTTTAATTTTATAAACATTGTATGTACCTAACAGCATTAGTACTTGCTAAAAGCAGTTTTGTTTTGGGCTTAGTTTCGGTTTAGTCGAAAATGAGAATTTTAATTGATTTCGAGGGTTGAATAGGGAGTATGTTCGCAATTAATGGCTATTGTTAGAAGAGATTATTCTTCTTCTTCGTATTCAGCATCTTCCACGTAAGCTTCGCCGGCAGCGTTCTCCAATACGAAAGCAGTTTCTCCACTCTTTGAATTCAATTCAATAATTGGCTCGTGTTCAGTTTCGGCGACAGGAGTCTCGGGCTCATCAACGATGGGCTCATCGGCGACGGACTCATCAACAGCTCTGTCTTCCTTTTGAATGGATTGAAGCTCTTGGGCAACGAGCTCAGCCTCCTGGCGTGCGATTTCGGCCAGTTCGGCTGCTTGGCGTGCCAACTCGCCCTCACGCTCTTCCTCGGCCTGTTTTTCAATTTCTTCCAGGCGGCTCAGCTCTTGCTCCCGCACACGCTTTTCTTCCTCTAGCCGAGCTTCCTCAGCGAGACGGTCTTCTTCAGCTTTACGAGCAGCTTCTTCGGCTTCTCTTTGGGCAGCTTCTTCGGCTTCTTTTCGGGCAGCTTCTTCGGCTAGGTGCTTCTCCTCTTCAAGCTTACGTGCTGCAGCCTCTTCGGCAGCTTTGGCTTCTTCAGCTGCTTTCTGAGCAGCTATTTCCGCCAATCGAGCCTCTTCAGCAAGACGGGCCTCTTCAGCCAATCGTTCTTCCTCAGCTTTACGTGCAGCCGCTTCCTCGGCCAGTTTTGCTTCCTCTGCTGCCGCCCTTTGGGCTGCTTCCTCGGCTAGACGAGCTTCCTCAGCAAGACGGGCTTCATGAATTAATCGTTGCTCTTCGGCCAATTTTTCAGCAGCCCGCTGTTTTTTGGCTTCTTCTTCTTCTAAGGCCTTTTTCGCAGCAGCCTCACGTTCTTTTTTCGTCCTAAGGGGTTATAATCAATCATCAATTATTAGAACCATCTTTGACTATTATTAAAGTATGCTTCGATTACTTCTCTTCAAGACGCTTTGCTTCATCAGCAGCCCGTTGAGCTCGTTTTTTCTCCACTTCAAGCTTATCCACAGCCTCTTCGTTTACAGTCAGCAGACGCTCCTGGCGTAGACGTTGCTTCTCCTTCGATTCCAGATCAATAGCATCTTCCAGGGGTCTGGGAGCAGAAAATTTTCTTGATGGGCGATTCGGATCCAAATCGGGATCTGAAAGCCAAATCTGGTTATAACATATGTCAGACATGCTATTTTGAGTAGAACCCAACTACTTCAACCCAATAAAAATGAGAAATATTAATTGTGTTAGTCACGCATTTATATATAAATATAAATCTATATATAAACATTTATATTTGTTCATGAAATTTAAAATATTCAATATTCAATATTCAAATGTACTTACTCATTGTAATTGCTGGGATAGTGGCCTATACTTCAAATAGTGGAGATTTTCAGATAAAAAGACTCCAGTAATAGAGTAATTGTTTTTTACTTGATTTGAATGTACAAAAGAAATATTTGTGTATATGCCAGTAGTTAGAGCTGAGATTATTGCGTATGTTAGCTAAATATAAAACGAACAATGTMTGTATGTACAAAAGACCCGCAATGATAACTCGTGCATAGACTGTAAGTGCAAATGTTATGCTATGATCTCTCTGATCCTTAGTCAGGCAGAGAGTGTACTGTTGTTTTCCTAAATAATAATACCTATGATTTATATGTAACTATCATTCATATGCCTTAAAAGCTTGCCTTAAAGGTAAATTCGATTAAGGCCAAGTCAATTTCATGCCTGTCTCAAAATCTAAAATATATATATTATTATCAATTGTATAAATACCGAATACGTATATGTGTAGGTATATTTGAAGGAAGAACTTTAACTATGGAATGGTTGATAAAACTTATCTTCAACGCTCTTCAAATTGTCTCTATATGAAATCTCAATTGTAAAAAATGAAAACGGTAATATTGCTTTTGTAGCAACGTGGGCTGCTACAAGGGTGATTCAATCGATCCAATTATTGAGAATGTAGGTCAAGGTCATCAACGTCCTCACGAGATTTGTTAGTCAGTTATTGGCCATTGGCCATATGATATACACATGTATATACAAGTATCTATAGAGAGCAAAGGAGGATATATAAATGAGACTGAAACCATCTTCAAATAGTATTTAGTGTCCATCGCTTATCGCTTGTCAAACCATTTATATTTTAATATTTCAATTTACATTTTTATGTCTGTGTTACATAAATATGTGTATATGTGTATATACATATAACAGTATCATTGAGCATATGGCATTCAATATAAAATACACTGCACAATTCCAATATAGACGCTCATATACATTGAGATAGACCTGATACATAAATTAAGTAAATGTTGAGTGTATTTTCTAAATGCCTTCAATCAGTAAGAGAAACACAGAGGTCATTGCTTAGATTTGAAATATACATATGTTACACGAATATAATATGCAATGGGCTATTTCAAAGTGTAACAATATAATTTAAATTGTGGTTAGGTTTTTCGAAATATTAGTATAGATTTTGATTCATCAGAGCTTCATAATGAATCTTTCAATGAAGAAGTTTGTATTAGTTTCCACGTTAGTCTGGATTCAAAGCATGTGATTCTGCTGATATCGCGAGTTTATATTTTTGATATCGGCTTTATATACTAACAGGCAAACATAAGTTGGTTTTTCATTTTTTTTTTTTTTATTTATTTAAAGTATAATAATGTGTATGTCCATATTTTATAAAGTCAGGCATGTTATCTTTTAGGCCTCAACTTCAACAGCTTCAACTGGAAAGAATCAATCAATCATAAAACRTATTAGGTTAGTCAAGTACACGGAACAGAACTAGTCAGGATGCGAGAAACATATGCATTAGTTACAAATTATTCGAATTGCGTTCGCTCCTATATATAAACAAGGAAATGGCAAATTTTTATATATATTTTGAGAATTATGCAAACTTTAAATGAATACAAATTAATTTTTTCTTATTATTTGGAAGAGAAATGAATACTCGAGATGCATTTAAGAGATCGCTACTTTAGTTGGAAGTTCCAAATAAAAATGATTTAGTTAGATGATCATGAGTGGAGGAATCACTAGTTCATTGTCGCTTTATACAGATGCCACTCACAAGCCAGTAGTACATAAAATCCGTTTAAAACGGAACTTACCTTCCTGACGAGCAATATTGCTTTCTTTCTCGTTCTTCCAAGTCGGGTGTCTAAGGTACCAGGACAAAAGGTTAATATCGTTTCGAACTTTGTCCGAATCGTACATAGGTCTTCTAATATTATAAGCCTTATCGCCACATATCCTTACAGAGGCTAGATGACTTTGACCTTATTATTTAATATTTAGAGAACGGCATTTAATAACGATTTTAAAAACAATGCAGGTTGCAACTAAATTGCTATTACACTATATTTAATACCACAATAGTAATCCAAGTGTATTAGAGGCAACATTTAAATTTTATTTATTTACACAAACAGTTCCATTCAATTACTCACCAACATATTTTACTGCTGGCTTTGGATAGTGCGATATATTGCGAACTTCCTTAGCAACATGACGCACGGGATTCGTAACTCGAGCAACATAGGCGTCTAAGGCCAATTGAGAAGTCGGCTCGTAAGAATACCTAAAAATGTTAATTATCTTTGGTAATTTCACTTATAAATTCCATTATCTGATTCACTCCTTCTATATCTTTCTAAATAAAACTATCAGAGTTGCCAATTTGAGGAATGTTCAACCATATAAAATAAGCTAAATATTTCAAAAAAGCTTTGATCAAAAATTAATTATTAAAGCACTGCAACGAGTACATACATAGATAGAAGTAAAAAAGTTGCAAATAATATGGTATATTTTGTAATAATGTAAGCTATTAAAAACTCTTTACTCTAAACAGAATATGCATCATGTTTGAGATTTCTAAAGCTTCAATAGTAACTAAATGCAATGTTTATAAATGGTAAAATTCTGCCAGAATTCAAATATACAAATATAGTTATTACTCTGGCTAATATTTAATGAAACATCTTATGCATAATCTAATTCATTTTTATCAATTTTCAAAACGTCGCTCACATATAAAATAACAACCAACTGAACAAGGCGAACTTACCCAGTCACTGGAAACGGAGTACAGCTTCGTGCACGGCGAACGACGGGAGTGTGCAAGTCCCGCATCAATGATTGCGCGCGATTACGTATCCTTCCCGTTTCCTCCGAAAAGGTCTATATTTAAATGATTATGAATTCAAAAAACTTTTCAGGTAACTGCCATCTTAAGCTTTTGTGCTAAGTTCAATTGAGTAAAAGAAGCGAACACTTTGATATTAACCTCCCAAAACTTACGGTGAAAGGTTCGGTATTGAGATAATTAGTTAAGGCCCGTGCGCCATATCCAGGAGGAAGTCTCTTCAGATAGGAAGGTGTTGAACGTATCGGAGATGTGGTGATCCTTATCGGGGATCCCGATCGAGCATAAACACGTGTAACAGTTGTTGGGGTGTAATGGTACGATGGCGTGTATGTTGTATACGATGTCGGGATATAGGCAGAAGAGTAGTATGTTGATGGCAAATAGGTCGGACTATAGTATGTCGATGGCGTGGTATAGGTGTAGGAAGACGTTCTCTCCGGGGATGTAACTACACGTGTTGTAGTACGCACAACACGTACAGGCGACGGAGAGTGTACAATGCGCGAATAAACTCGGGTGGGAGAGGTAACAACCCGAACAGGCGATGTAATAACGCGTGTTCCACTGATGACACGTCTTGGGATGGAATAACTCGAGTAGATTGGATAGCTCGATTTGTATACCTAGTATATTTAGCAATTTCATCAGTTAGTAGAATATTAAATAATCAAATAACATCGACTGTGCAAGAGGATATATGAGAGCGAAGTAGAGAGAGTGATAATAGTACAAGAAAAGATCAAATAACAAGAAACATAAATAATAGAAAGTAGCAGTGGTAAAAACAAACAATAATGCGTAAAGAGAAACTAGATGTAGGTATTTCTAAAAGATTACACGGGTGCACGGGTTTCTCCTAGTGCACCTCCCACTGGAGTCACTAGACTCCATGTTTGACTGTTGGTGATGATACGTTTAACTATTACAGATCCTTACTATATTAAATCGTGGAATTCGTAGATCGCGGAGTGATAAAATACAGATGCTTTATTCCTATTAATGGTTCAAACTGCTTTCATCCTATCTCTATGATACATTAGGATATAAAATATAGCATAAATTATTATTTCAATCGATACTCAAGAATATAAATAAAAAATAAATCTATCGATACTGTTGCGAGCCCCATACAAATACAAATGCATCCTATACATTTAATTTTAAGTATTAAATTAACTAACGTAGCTAATGCCAGATATTTCTTTAAATTTCATATTCCTTTTATGTGGAACACAAAATGGTAACAGGCTGCAGTTTATATGTATTTATGATGTGTTATACTAACCACTTATGAATCCTGGTGACGATGAAGTGATTGAAGTATGAGCAGAGTGATAGTAAAATTTAATTGAAATAATTGAAAAACATTAAAGATGTGGATGACAAGCAACTCATGAGCAATGAAACCAATGATTGGAAGTACTTACACGCGTCACACTCTGAACAGACGGATACTGAAAAAGAATTGTACAACATTGAGAATAGTTTAGTGTTCATTTTGTGTGAGAGCCCACTCCCTGAGATCTGAACTCCACATTATATAATATTGGCAAACTATGAATTTATGTTCCAAAGAGTGTCTAATCGATGGCATCATCCTTTCTTGTTCATATGAATATCGTATTTGAAATAACATAATGCAGTAGATTTGTACATATGCAAAAAAGTTTATTTTATGTTTGTTTTGGGTGAACGCGATTTCATTTTATTGTATCACAAATACTTTGAAACTATAAATGATTTAGGTGATGGGTAAATACATCATAGACGGGTTGTCTGTCTATCTCATTAACAATCAAAGAAACTATTAGTTATGTTAGTCAACTCGAATATTTTACACAATTCCGGTATATAATATAAACATATCATGTACATACGTATGTATCTGGTTAGGTATTACAACTTGCATTACAAATAACAAAACAATTTTAGCGGAACGATTAGTGTAATAAGTTGTAGCCACATAAACCATTTATGCTATTGATTTCGTAAAATCATCACTTTTAGACATGGTACGAAAAGTGACGGTATTTGGTGCCGCCAGGCAAGTTTCCAGTCGTGGTCGACGAGTAGCTGTAGCCACCGGGTCCAGCGCCAGTTGTGCTGGTCCGCTCGGTGCTATAATTGTAGGCACCGCCGGGACCGCTACGCGATGTTCTCTCGACAGTGGAGGAGTACGTGGAACGCTCAGGCCTGGCGTACGGGTTGCTTGAGTCATAACTGCTTTTCTCAACACTCGACTTTGAGGTGTACGAGTAGTCCGAGGAGGCGCGGCTGCGATGCGAGCCAGGCCTGTCCGTGCACAGGTCTAAGCGTGGAGTCTACAAATTCCGATTTATGCATTTAGGTGAGAATTGTAAATTGTGAAAAATTGGCAATCAGCATAAAACAGTTATGCAACTATAAGCTAACTTGCTGTTCCATAACGACTATTCTCTTAAGTGAAGGGCATTCTTAATGAAGGCTGGCCCGCCAAAAATCAACGTTTGATAATGAAATAAAATAGACTTCCGAAAAAGGAAGTCAATTCAGATTTGATCAAATTAAGGCATGTGTAAATATTTAGCGGACCAGCCTCAAGAAAAAAAAAAAAAACATGAATGTATGAAAAAATGACAGTTACTTGAATACCATTATAATTTCTTTCATATATAGATAGTCAATCTAGTCCTAGTCTCTATCAAAGGAAATTGAAACAGGTTCGTATCTTATCATACTTTGATTCTATTGATTTTAACACAATAATAACAAAAATAGAAACTCGAGTGGCATGTATTATGAAAGATGTATTATTGGCAATATTAGATACAAAACGAACAGAGTGTCAGATCTTTTGTTTGGTTGTATGTGAACTGTAGTATATATATATTTGAATTTACATTTGAAGGTATGTATACATGGTCATGTGCGTGGTGTATCCTAATTGTAATAGTAGAGACTGTTTAGTCAATTCGTGCAATTCGATTTCGGTTTGATCAGTTTTCGCTGAAGAGTTTTCTTTCGCTATCGGTTAATTAGTAAGAGTACTTTGTGACCATTGCACCCGACTTTTCATTGCGATAGGTCTCTCGGCGCACCGGCAGACCTTCGGAAACAGCTCGATGCAGGCGCGGAAGTTGACTATCGAGGGAATCGCGAGAGGTGCGAGCTGCTGTGTTGCCACCGGCTTCCACAGTGTCGATGTGCTGGCGCACCATGCTCAGGATACGCGAGCGATTCTTATCGCGCGTCGGCACATACGGCTCAATGGGCTGATAGACAATCTTATAGTTAGGTTTTATAGCGGCCCTGTTTATTGGATCGAGTATTGATCGCTTGCGCTGCTCATAGTCCGACCGACGCATTCCAAAAGCAGTCACCGGATCAGAGATGAGTGAAGGCCGTGGCACGAAAGGAACTTTCTCCCAGTCAATTGGTGGTCTGTTTGTTTTCTGCAATGCCCAGAATGTCACACAGGTGGGTTTAAATTTCGAAAGCCAAGTTTACGTTATTAGCATATGCAGTGCAGAATTGTTGTGCGACGTGCTTGCGCGGCTGGGACACCACATTCATCGGCGACACTCGCAATCCATGTTCCATGCAAGCATTTATCCATTAACTCGACATGCAGGTGTACGTACACATGTAAACATGTACACATGTGCATGTGTACATGAGTCATGTGGGAGTGAAGGTATAGAGATATATCAATGCTCAGCTTATGTACAGGCATAGGTGGTCCATGGATGGTTAAAAAATTAATTGTAGTACCAGTTCTATGATCTATTTACATTGGGTTTATTTGCATTTGAGGAACTCACAAAATGTTCTTCCCACAAAACTTAATTTGCAGGGTGTCTGATAATGGAATATATACATGAAATTGATGTTAATATGTTTTATTTTTGTTAACAATCGTAAGGTGTTCATTTTAATAACAAATATTTTGTACAAAAATACACATTATATTTATAAGTGGATAATTAGTTCAGTTATGTTTGTATTTGCAGTGTTTCGTCTTAGCTAGATTAAATTTTTTTTAATTCATATTTTTCTCTCTGTTTATCTGGTTTTCTTAACGCCTACTACAGTCTGTCTGCCCATTTTGCCGTCATTGATTTAAATGTATTTTGGAAATCAAAAAATATATTTTTAGATCAGCCCGAAACTGAAATGCGCAAACAGCTTATATTACACACATGTTTGTGTAGATACAATGTGTGTACTTTCCTATGTACATAAAGAAAGATGTGTCTATGTGTCTGCCTCCATATGTAAGATGCATAAACATTTGAAGGATAAACGAAATACGAATAGAAAACAAACAAGAAAAACATCAACTGTTGAGTTGTGAAATATATCGCCGTATACACAGGCGCAAAGAGAATATTTTTTAATTTTCAAAAACTTAGCAGCTGCGAATTAAGTCAGTAATCCACTTTCAAATATGTGTATATACAATAATTGTCGGTCACGATGTACATACAGAATTATGTGAATTTAAACATGGGTGTATATACACACAGAGCTAAATTTGGAATTTGAGAGCAGAAGAGCTTTTTTATTTGCACGATCGCCAATGATGTTGGCTGAGTCTATGACAAATCACAAAATTTTTAGATATTATAACGATAGAGAAAATAGACACAACCTTGAAATATACTCAATAAATTCGATCCAAGGTGATGTAAAAATAAGGGCATTTGCGTTATTTAATTTTTTTGTTTGTTTTTCAAATATGTTCTTTCATATATTTTACCGTTTAACAATTTGATTATATTCAGTGAAAGGTTTGTTAGTTGTCTATGTCTATGTTATACAAAAAATTATCGAAAGTCTTCGGATAGTGTAGCTTATTAAGGGTTTATATGGCCACAGCTGCATAAATGTAATTGGTGTAAACTGATTAATTTTATATAGTATTTTTTATTTCGAAAATCCATAGGAAGACACATATAGTCTGTACGTATATATGATATACGAATATAAATGAATATTTATTTACTTATATAAGCTTCAGGCATGCACTCTTCTCTTATACACACTTTGACTTTTTAATCCTGATACGATATTCATATGTGAGACATGTATTAAGACTAGATTATAAGTTACTTTTGTGCTCAAACGTGTTTCAATTTCTTTACTAGCTGCACTTTTTTAATGAAATTGCGGAACTCAGCAAGTGGGAGGTAAGCCTTAATAATTCGAAGTACTTTGAGGAGGAGTTTGATTGAGAGGTTGTAATGAAACTCATTTCATAAAATGTTCAATTTATCTGTTTCATTGCCAGGGGTATTTTAATAACTCATTCTTTTGCACAAGTCCCGATAAATAAATATATTTGTCCGCACAGATGCATTTCACAGATTTTATGAATTGAGAACCTCACTACAAACTTTCTCCCAGACTACGAGATATCCTATTCGCGTGACTAGCATATTTGAAACTTACCGTTACAGCATACGACGTTGTCACCGGTCTGGAGCTGTAAGTTCTACGGGTTGTAAATCCACTTTCGTAAACCATTTTGAATATGTATTTTTCAAATAAAATGTAAAAATCAGAAAGAATCACTTATTCGTTTTAATTTCGATTCAAGTTCTCGTCTTTTCGTGTTCTTAACTTGATGCCCGTTCGAGTTGTTCTGCTAGAGAACTAGATGGAATGGTTTCTTATAATTTTTCTATTACAAATATGTATCTGAATAGCTCTCGCTCTTTCTTGCTCTCTTTCGTTGGCTTTTATACATTTATTTTTGGAATAACAAAAATTTCAATCTCTCATGTCACTGAAGAGCGTACAATTTTTTTTAGCATATGTAAAGCTCTAATATTTTTCGTTTTGCACACGCACACATATTTATAAGATCGTACATAAGTATACAAACACCTAAATGTTTAAGGTGTATATACATGTATACATACTAAGTATAAACGTGAGTAAGAATATTCTACATACGATTGGAAATGAAATGTGGAAAAATTGGAATACAGTATTAAGTATGACGGTATGTAAATCAGGTGAATAAACACATGCATTTCTTATAATTAATTTCATATGAGAATAACCTTGGGATGATTACTCGCGCCATTAATTTATAACCGCAAATATATATATATATTTCAAATTGAATATACATTTTTTAAAGTATAATTTCATTATTGAAGACGTGGTAACATCTAGTCGAGTACATTTGTTTACATAGTAGGTGTATTCACACACACCGAATGACATAGAAATACATTCAATCAAGGCTCTCAGATGTATAATAGAATTCATACTCCATTTGTATGTATGTTATTTATATTTTAATATTTATATCCAAAATCAAACAGATTTATAAATAAATAGCAAGGACAATATATTAATGACATTAACCTTAATCAGATTCCATAAATAAATTAAGAATTTAGCCTTACACATTTTTAATACTTTTGTTTTGCTTTGTTTGAGATGTCATTATGAGACATTCGGGCTATTACTAGCCTTTTCACGGCCAAAGTAATTTAATATATACGTTCACAGACTAAAATAAATACTCACCAGATAAAATATCAATATTATGTTACTACAACTAATAGAATTAATTAATAAACGAAAACGACTATATCTTCCACAGTTTTAGAAATAGGATTTATTATTGTTTGTTATATGAAAAATCTGGAAAGATAAACTTCGTATTCAGATTTTCTAGAAACTTGACTAGGTCTAGATATTTTTAAATCACTTTCTATACAGCAGTCTATACAGAAGCTGCGGGCTATATATTCTTATATGGCGTTGAAAGAAGTGTGGAGCTTACAAATATCCTTTTTCGCATAGACACAAGCATGCAGCGGAAAATATGAAGTTTTGAATGCTTAAATAATTCAGAAGTTGCATAGGGAAACACACGGATGGGTCAGTACCAACCCAATAGTTGATACTTTAGTTTATTTTATGATGCTGAATATTTGTGCTGAGTCAAAACACTTATGGATAATACCCTCAAAAAATAATAAAAAGTCCAAAAATCCTTAAAGCTAACAAAATTATTAGGAATTGATTAAAGGTTTTTTTCAGCTATGTACGTAGAACACGTCTTCGGCTCTTAGGCACCAATCCCTATCCAATATTCCTCAATACATAATAGGTTAGCACGGCATGCATGGTGAACACGAATCGCAACAAGCATTCCGATTGCATGTGAAACTGAAAGAGGTTTTAGATAGGTGAATATGTACGGATAAAAGAATATTGTGAGACAATACCATCTTGAGAGGTCACGCTTTTCCAAATGTACACGAAGGAAATCACAGGCTCGAACTTCATCATAGCGACTTTGTCTATGAGAATAGTCTGGCTTACCAAATCTTCCGCCCTTGTGCGTGAATTTCGATCCCATGTTACCTTTTCGGAGTCTCAATCTGCTGCCATTCCTAGACAATTTGGATTTATCCCCCGATCTCCTTGATCCTCGACCACGTTCATTTCCATCTCTGCTCTCTCTTTTATCAGCTTGAGATGGTCGCCCAGTTTCATACTTTCCCTTTTTACCTTTTTCAGATTTTGAACTAATGTCCTGTTCGTCTGCTGACGTTCCTTTTCCTTTCTTCATTGTACTATCTCTTGAACTATCTTTACCTTTCTTCTCTTTATTTGTAATACCATCCGCTGTTATTGAACTTTTCGTATCTCCTTTAGTCTTGCCTCCTTTTCCAGATTCGTTAAGTTTATCGTCTTTTCCACTACTACCTTGTTGATGTTTTGATGTTTTTGAAGGATCGCTGTCATCGGCATCTTTTCCGCCACCTTTACCATCACCCCCTTTGCCATCCTTTGCAGATTTCTTTGAAGGATCGCTGCCATCGGCATCTTTTCCACCGCCTTTACCATCAGCTCCTTTGCCATCCTTCTTAGATTTCTTCGAAGGATCGCTATCATCGGCATCTTTTCCACCACTCTTACCATTAGTTCCTTTGCCATCCTTCTTGGATTTATTTGAGGGATCGCTGTCGTCGACATTTTTTCCGCCACCTTTACCATCAGCTCCTTTGCTTGCCCTTTTTGATTTATTTGAAGTATCTTTTTCATCGGCATCTTTTCCACCACCTTTACCATCCTTTTTCGATTTCTTTGAAGGATCACTGTCATCGGCGTCTTTTCCGCCACCTTTACCATCACCTCCTTTGCCATCCTTTTTCGACTTTTTTGCAGAGTCACTGTCATCAGCATCTCCTCTTTTACCTTTTGAATCTTTATCCCCCCTTGACATTGCAGCCAAGTTCACTTTTCCTTCCCCTTTTGGATCTCCGTTCTTGGATGCATTTTGAGATCCGAATTCATCACCCTTGCCGCCCTTCTTATTAGATGGATTCCTACCTTGTGCCTTCAAATCAAAGCTTCCTCTTCCTCTTCCTCTTCCTGATTGTGAATCCCTGCCGTAGCCCCCTTCACCGTCACCATACTGGTTTTTAGAATAAGGATCGTCTGCAAAAATTTGAAATTTATTAAAAGCTCGCTAGTTACTTATTTCATGACATACATTTTTGACTGTCAGAGCATCGACCATTGATGCTGTTACCTCCATTAAATACGCTATACTTTTCACGGCACTGCTGTCGGTTATAACTTTTTATTATCTTATGGCAAATCCGTTTTAGTAGTGAATAGGTATGATCATTCAATAGGGATTGTCTACAGCACGGATAGCAACAGCATTGACTGCATTTGTTGTAATTATCGTTGCAAAAAATTTTGGTTGTACTAGACGAACTGCTTTAAAGTAGAATATTAATGATAAAGAAAAAACAAACAAATTAAAGGATTGTAATAAATATGCACACTCTCGTTTTTTATAAAATGGTATACTGCAGACTAAATATGCACAGTTTTATGAAATTATGGAGATGATAATGGTAAAAGCTGATTGGGCAAATAACACCTATAAGTTTGAAATCTACAACTTTTGCAGTTACCGGGATCCACGCGTTGATACAAGATGACGATGTAGATATTAGATCGGCACCACTAGAAATAATATAATGTTGTCGTACTTTCATAGCTATCTTTGCAAAACCACGAAGAATTTCACACATTTATCTAATGATTTTAGTCAATAGCATCTATATAATACATATGATACATACCTAGATGGTGGTAGACAACAAATGCGCTCTAAGTCAAAACCCATTTTATTATATACATTTTAAATTGGAATTTAGTGTAAAAAACTAATTTTCAAAATTTGATCTACTAAATTATTGTGAAATGTGACGTAAAACGCGTTGACGATTAAAAAATTTGATGAATTTATATTAGGGCAATAAAGAAAAGCGAATTTTTCGAACAGTTTGTCGTTCTAAAATAGATCGCACGACATATAAGCAAAATCTGATTTGAAATGGTAATATTAGGGAACCTTTCATTAAGGAATTGTGAATGCGCAAATTAGTTTCTTAAAATATTTGTATATTTCGATTTTAATAATTAATCAAAATGTTTCCGTCGATCGCATTTATACTAGAACTTCATCTTGCACATATTATAGAGATAGATAGAGAAGCTTATTGCTGAAGCAATTTGAAATTTTTGAAATTATTTATTATAAAATAATAAGCATTAAGGAGAAGCCAATGAAAAGCAACGATGATGCCATGGCATTAATGTGATCATGTTAAATGATGGCATTAACAAAGCTAGGCAAGTTTTCGAGGACAGAGAGGTACTGGACTGGGTACTTTGATGAAAATGAAAACAGTCATATAAGTACTTAATAGGAAGTCGCGTAGCGCAAGAGTCAGTGACTCAATACCAGAAATTTCTTGGTCTACTGCACCCAAAGATTGTGCGAGTTACAAGTGCAAAAGCTTCCACATATTGCAACTAAAGCCAAAGACATACCCAAAGCCATACCTAACTATCTTGTAATTTAGTGTCGCTAAAAATTGTATTGTCGCATACATACAAACCAAATATACATATACATATGTATATATTTATGTGTAACTTCTTTGCGTTAGGCTGTTGTAATGATTTTGAAAACAAAATTGAGTATGGCTTGCTTACAAAGTTAGCAGTAAGTGTATTCATATGAGTAGGTGTAACTTTTGTACTCTCTATTTCTCTTCTTTTTTTATTTTTATAAGTTTGGTATATATCAAAATATCCCTCACCGACTCGGCACAACTATATATGTACGTATTGTACCTAGAATACTATTGTTCATCGGGATTTTTTGTTAGTAGCTCCGCCAACTTGGAAATTTGAAAGCAAATGATTATCGCAATTGAAGAGTAAATCTTAGTCGGTCCTCCCTGAATCGAGCACTCTCACTTGGATGTAATAACTTGTCGTTGTGCTACGCTGGCTTCCTCTTTAACTTGGTGCCTTTTAAGCGCGTCAACCAGCTACACTCATACACGCATATGCATAGGCATGCTTAACACATGCACAAACCGTGTAATAGTAAGCACCTGTCTGAAGTTTTATAAATTGGACAAATTGCGGGACTCGTTAAGTAACGCATGAAACATAGTTAGTTTGGTTTCTCTGTGCACATCTAAATATATAAATAACGCGTGGATATATTAAAAGTTATTAGTTTGAATATTCAAGTCGCAGAGTTGTGTTCAAACTTAAACGCCAAGTCATCAAATAAGGACTCTTTAAAGGAATTCAAATGGATACCAAATACCAAGCTCCACTGAAGCTTACTTGCATATTGCTCGTACTAAGCCTTGCTGAAGCGATCCCTAAGCTGGATAATAAACCAAAGTAAGCTTTTAATAGGAGTGAAAACATTTACAGCTAATAAACGTTAGCTCAAAGATATTCAATTAATAGTGGCGGAATTTAATTTTTATTTATCTGCACCTATGAAAATTAAAACCCAAGGAATTAAAAAAGTGCTTGTTGACTGTTTTATAAAATCTCCTTTCTGATGAAATGAAGCTTACTTCTAGTCATCGATAACTTATAATAAAATTGAGCCGCAAAATATCAACTAAATGCATTTGGTCCTCAAATGGAATAAATGTCTTCAGTGTTTACAGATAGAAAAGCTTTGAACTACAACGCCAATAACATATTATCCTCCTATGGGAAATGTGCATCTCTTGAAATGTAATCTAATTGTCAGTGTTTTTTGTCTCCAGACCTTACTCCGACAATGCGCAATGGAGTCGAGCATACCCAAATGAAAATAGAACTCAGCTAAAAGAACCGGAGACTGCATCAACAAAAGACAGGCTAGAGCGCCTAGGCTACACCACTGGATATGGAAGCTTAAATGTATGTCTATCATGTCTCTCTCATTCTTACTTTCACACACTTTATTGTATAATTTTATGGACTAGAAACCTTAAGACTTTACTTATACTTAACATTTATATATTATATTATTATTTAAAACATAGGGATATCCAAGTAGCTCTGGACTTTCAGCATATAATCCAATTAAACTGGATCTTGGCGGAGTCGTGCTGGGAACACTTGTTGGCATCGGTGCAATAATTCTCATACCTAAAATACTATCCGCCTTTCACGGAGGCTACGGCGGCTATGGACGTAGTAAGTGAAAAATATTTATTTTAAGCATTCTACTCATCTAGAATATTCGCATTCTTCATATTCATGTAGGCGAGGACGACAATGACTTAGCGTCTCTCAGCAGTATGATAAACAAAATTGACAATGTGCTTGGTCAAAACAATATCGACTCAACTAGTTGCATGCAACGTGCTGTCTGTGGCTATATTCGGTCGACAGAGAATAATATAAAGTCCGGAGTCTCCGATCAGATGGATGAATTCATTCACATGCTGTCCGGGTAAGCTAAAGAATGTTATACATAAGTATTTGTTTATTAGTTTGCGTACAGAAAGAGTGAAACATATATCTAAATATAAATTGTTTATAATACGACCATAGTACGATTCAAACGGATTGATGTTAGAGCTATTTTTAGCCTTACAGAAGGTAACATATTTTTGTTTAGTAAATATGTTACATATTTAATGATAAGATTTTCTACATTTCATATTTTTATACCCTGAACCCATTGAAAATGGGAAATCAGGGTATAATGGTTTTGTTGAAATGTATGTAACAGGCAGAAGGAGGCGTGGCAGACCCCACAAAGTATATATATTCTTGATCAGGGTGACGAGCTGAGTTGATTTGGCCCTGTCCGTCTGTCTGTCTGTCCGTCTGTCCGTCTGTCCGTCTGTCCGTCTGTCCGT